ACAGAACTTACCATCGAACCCAATAATCTAAACGTGATCTGTCTAGCGTCCAGTTTTAATTCTTAGCTTTTAAAACATTTCATAGCGCTTTTGTACATAATGTTGTACTTTATATTACTTCCAAATATATTTATGTGATCATCATTTTGTGATAATAGTGCCTTATTCTTTTCTCTTTACATCAAATACGAGTGGCATAAATTGTCAAGAATAAGTTGAATGTCCAGATTAGATTTTGACAGAACACTAACAATTATAATCCAACCCTATCCCTGAAAGTTAAATGTCATCGAAAACCTTTATTAATACCAAAAGTAAAGCTAATCATTATAAAGTCTTAAAGGCAAAGTAATGTTATTTATTTGTACACATCCATGTTCGATCTCAATCGAAAGGCAAAAGGAAAGCAAGCTAAAGAGCGACAAAATGAAACCGAATCTGCCCAGCTTGCCAGTCGTCCATTCTCTTCTCTTCCTTTCTTCTTCCTTCCTTCTTCCATTCTTCCCCATTTAGGATCTGCCCTTTTCCCCTTCTCCTTCCCTTTCTCCTTCCCTTTCTCCTTCCCTTTCTCCTTCCGACTCTCAATGGGATCTCCATGGCCTCAATCTCGTGATATCTACCACAATTCAGTCTCCGTTTTTCTTTTCGTTTAGGCCAATACTTGTTTTTAGAAATTGCTGTTGTGGTTACTTTTAATTGAATCTAGCTACCTAGTAGTCTAGAATCTAGCTACCTAGTAGAAAGCAAGCTAGTCTAGTTGCCAATGTTCTCGACTAGAGTTCGGCGAGAGTTCATAAACTTTCAACCTGTCAAATCTGATAATGCAAGCTTTTAAGCGTTAATAACGTTTCCCAAGTCAATCAAAAGTTGAAATCTTTTATTTTTTGTTTACTACCTAGAGAACCTTCTTCATTTTACCAGTTCTCATTCAAAATTCCCCTAAAACGTCCATTTTTTGGGCTGTTCCGAAGTCCATAAGTACCCCTGTTCACACATTCATCGAAATATTTTATAACTTTACTTTTTTTTTGTTGAGAAACACTGAAATGAATCCAGAATGTTACTTTGTGACTCGGTTTTTTGCGGGCTTTTTAATTTGGTAGATGTCAAAATGTGATCTTGAAATGGCCGGGTGGATGGATTGGTTCTAACGAAATTACGGCTCTTTGAGGGATATTGCTTTTCTACACAAATATTGCTTTTATTTCCAAAAAATACTTTTTAGTAACATTTTTATAAAGCTTTTTTACACTTTTACACATTTTCATGAAGCTTTATCATGTTTTTACGCCAAGCATCTTCAAAGTTGATATGCTAAAATTGATGTTTCGTGAATTAATTCATTGATATCAAAAAAGTTGATTCCTCCAAAATAATTATTCGAAAATGTGGTACTTGTGCATCTTTCCCCACCCCACAAGTTTATATGTGCATCAGCTTATTGGCCTTGTTGTGCACCAGCTTATTGGCCTCTAGATGCACACATTGGGTTACCCAATGAACGAATTAATGTATTAACTATGTGGTTTTAAAATAAATGCCTGAAGATTTGTTTTTAAAATTTCAAAGTTGGATGGGAAAGGTGTACAAGTGAATAAGTTGCATTTAACCTTACTCATTGGGATGGAAAAGATACACGAGTACCGAAAATGTTTTATGAGTCTTTTCTATTGGAAGAGGCAATATTCATGCAGCTGTCCCTTTTCGTGAGAAGATTCGCATAATGAGAGGAACGGGAAAAGACTTCAAGAAAAGCGAAAGAGATCGACGATGTCCAAATCGAGTTTCGGGTTTACTCTCCTTCTTTTTCTTCTCTTCCCTTTTCTTTCATTTCTGTGAATCTTCTTCTTTAATTCTATTTTACTACGTCCGTTCGAGTGACCGGACCCTCAAGAAATTCCACGAGTTTATTCTCAAATCTTTTGATTCTTCTTTTTACACGATTTCTTATGTATTTTCTTTTTTATTGATAAATTCACGAAAAATTTTTTACATTGAATGTAAGGTGTCATAGGTGTCGAAATATCGCCTTGATTAGTCAGCCAAGTCTTGATTATGTACTCTTGAATTTCAACTTTCGAGCTCCTACATTTCAGTAAAATGAATGGTTATCTAACTGTACTTATCTATATCGAATTTTTAAAATCCTCCCTGGAAAAACTGCCGCCATTCCTTGAGGTGTTTTCTTCTTAAACCTTTACCTTATTGTTGTTTATCGATCTCCTCCATTTCCACTTGTTAGTTCTAAGATTCAATCTTTCTTTTTCTTTTATTCTCTTCTCGATTTTGATTCTTTTGCATAATTGATGCTTTTTTTAGCTCAAAGTCATCCGAGTGGAAAACCCTGAAAAAGGAAAAGCTGTCGATAGAGGAAAGAGCGGTCAAGGCTCACCCATAGAAACAACCACAATTGACACGGGAAAAGAGAAAGAGAAAGAATCGATGGATGGAGAAGAGGAAAAAAGAGAAGAATGGAACGAAAGGGGAGAAGAGAAGGAGGAAAACGAGGAAAAGGAGGAGAAGGAGGGCAACGAGAAGTCCCTTGTGGGACATACCACACAACACACAACAAGGGAAGCGGGTGACCTATTCAACGATAGTCTTCTAAAAGGAAAATATTCACAACAATCATCTATACCTTCATATCCATTACAACCACCACCAAAATCACCTAGAAGACAGCCGAGACAAGTGGAGAGATTATCGAGAATGGACACGTCAACGATGAGCTCGAGAAGGTTTATTTTTTGAATCAAGAAGATAGGTGAAAGTTGAGAGCGATTAAGGTTGGAATATTGGAAAATACCATTTTTTAAGGCATAGTATTGATTGAAAATATCGATGCCAATTTTAAAATAACCACCTATTTCAGTGCTCATTCTGGATTACGAACTCGATCACAAGGGCCGAGAAGACCAATGACAAATCGTGAAGAAAATCAAAAAATAGCCGGAAATCCAGGAAAATCGGGGAGAAGTAATGTGAGTGTTGAATACAATAAGAGATATTTGTTTTGTCATTGAAATGAAAACTTTTCCAATTCTAGAGTGTCACCCGTATTCTTCAGGATGAGAAAGCACGAAGTGAAGCTGAGGATGCGAGAAGGAGGTAAGGGAAGCGAAAATTCTATGTAGAACTTGAATCTTTTTTGCCGTAATAAGGCAAAGTTCTTTGTGCTCTCACAAACACATGTCTTCCCGTACACTTGAACTCTCTGTTTTTACTAAAACTTCTGAAAGAATATGAATGGGTGTCCGTTTTAATATTGTCCGTTTGAGTGTCCGTTTTATATTTAAAGTACGTCCTCTTTGCTCTTCCGATTTAGATCTAGTAATTTTATTTAACTTTTCCCTTAAGCTACTAGTGTCAAAGTTTTCTTGTTTAAATTCTTCCTCTATATTCTTCCTCTATAACTCTTCCTCTTCCTCAATATTTCCAAAATAAATAAATTTTCAGAGAACAAGCCGACGCTGCTTTTCTTGAATGGTTGAAGCGAAAAATGAAAGCGCCGAGAGAACCAAAATGCAGTCCGACAAGGCAAGTAAAAGAAAAGAAAAGAGGCTAAATTGGATATTCATGAGAATTATGGAGGAATTCACAAAAGGGTTGAAAAGGATTTGAAAAATGAGACTATTATGATGATGATGATTGATGATGGGTAATCGATGGAAAAGGCAACTTTAGACATTGCTTTGCAGTTACTTGAGGAGTAAGACGAGTATTTGAAAGCTTTTTGTGAAATTTTACCGATAAACTCAATTACCATAATCAAGTATCGATGAATTTTCAGAGAACAACTCGAACAGCACAATCGTGCAGATGCCCGCCAGAAAATGCTCAATCATTGGCATGCAAAATTTCCGCGCTCAAAATCAAGATCTGGTGGACGGTCTCCCGATATTCCTTCTATTAGATATGATGCTACTCTTTGAGAAATTTTAAGTAGAAAATCTGTCAACTTAAAAACTTGATAGCTAGATCTTAATTTTCAGTTTCTATCAGTTCATTGTGCTTCTTTGGCCCTTTGAAAGTACAGTAAAGCTCTCACTATCAATCTAAAACTGTACTTTAAAGATTGCTGTCTTTTCTGTAAAGATGACAGTCTTTTGCCTCACCACAATATTTATCTAATAGTTCTGCTCTAGCTTATGTCTTTTTTGATCTCAATTCTTATTTTCCCAATTCATTTACCGGTATTCTTAAGCTATGATATCCCTTTCCTGATCTCAATCTTTTTGCTTTCTCGATCTCAATTTTCTTTGCCAACACTGCCACCTTTTGGTTCTTCAGAATTCGTGTCAATAAAAAGTTGCACTTGATATTAAGCATTTATACTTTATAAAAACATTTATTCTTTATAAATTTGGGTATTCAGGGAATTCTACCGTAGTTGGGGTGACATATAAAGTGTATCCATCAGCAATATAAAGATCTTTCAATCGAATCTCATCACGGAGTTGAGTTACTGAAAATTTGAGACTGAATGGAAAAGATCTTTGGATTCTTTGGGAAAAAATGTTCTGTTGTAATCTGCTTTTGTAACCTGAAAGTGGATTACTCTTTGGATCGTCTTACCTCCAAAAACAATCCACATCTCATCGGGTGGGATTTTTGTCTGATGCATGAGTGCTTCCTAAAAACTTTAATCTTAAAATATTGGTTTTTGTTGTAGGTCGTTTAAACAGGAAAAGCTTGCAAGTCCAAAAAGTTCAAAGAAATAACTTCAGTTCCACTTACACTCTACTTACTGGATGCTTAACATTTTTTTGAATTACCTTGAAATCTCCAACAGTTGCCTTATCATCAACAACAATATTAAACGTATGTCCGGCCCATTTTCGGCATTTGTTGTAAACAAGTGCTTTCAAATTCCTAAAAGAAATAATATTACCGTGAATACTGTAATTAAACCCCATGGGGTTTTATTTTTTCTTCCCTCCTCTACAGTGGGGCACTGTTAAAGGGGTGAGGTTCTATTTTGTATTGAATTGAAAAGAGCTTCATCACCTATCATTGAAAAGCTTTCGATTACTGAAATCAATTCCAGAGGGGTAATTCTTGATAAGCTAAATTTTTTAACTTTTTTCCTTTTCTTGGTCATTTTGTCTCGGAATTTCTAGCATCCTATTGATTCGAATCCTGCGACAGTAACGCTGCATACTGGCTCTACTCAAGGCAACATTAAAAAGTTGCTAGCGGTAGAGAGGAGAGCAAAAAGCCACTATTTTGAGCCAAAATTCTCCAGTTTTTGTATGCTGTCATTCTGATTTCGGGGAAAAAAGATGGCATGATATCCTAGCTAATAATGGAAAATAGCTTTTAGATCAGAAATGCACATTTTCCTCTATAAAACAATATAAAATGTAATATATTGATACCTAAAATGCAAAAAAATCCTAAGAAGGGGGCTTCTATTAAAGGCTCGATTTTCCCCCTTCCTCACTGCGTTGGGACCCTATTAGAGGGCGGGGTTCAATTACAGTATTTATGGTAGGAAATGAGATGAAACTTACATTGTAAAGATGGCTCAGATCAATAAAGAGGAGTTTCAATAGTGAAAATGTTTTCTTCTCATGGCCCAGTTTCCTCAAAAATTAGCCTCAATTTTGCTGTTGAATGTTTTTGTGAAAAGAGTTTTGACGCGTAGATACTACGAGTTAAACGGTAAATTGCTGTTTATTCCATAAAAAGCATTGTGATTTTTATGAGATTACTAGTACCTAAAGGTTTAAGTTTATTTAAACTACTATGGTTTAAATAAACTATTCAAATCACTAGCCTTTGGTATTTGGGGCAATTTATTGAAAATTTGTGAAAGAAACTAGATTTAATCGGAAGAGTTCTCGTGTTTGTTTTTCAGTTCTTGATCCATGGGCTAAAAGGAAGAAGGAAGAAACTTGAAAAAAGTCGAATCGGTTCGAAGCTTGAGTTAAATTCTTGGAAACCTATTACCGTATTTCTTCTATTTGAATGATCCTCTCTAATAGAATGACCCTCCCCAATAGTATGATATGAGGCCTTTTCGGGTCAATCCTAACCCGATCCAATAGTAGCCAATAGTAATAATAGGGAAATCTGAGCAAAATTATTAGCTTGAGAGCATATTCGAGTAGTTTCAAGCTCTGCCGATTCGGCTCAAAAGGACTAAATCTTGATTTGCACCCGACCCGAAACAGGTCTACTATTGGTGCTTAAGAAACATAAATCCATGAATTTCGAAATATAGAATGACTCCTCTAATTAAATGATCCTTTTGGGGGATATCGAAAAATAAAATGGTACTAGTATGCCTGGCGGGGCAACTTTTTTCAAGCTTTGCACTTTTTTTTGAGGGTTTTCGAGGGTACTGAATCAAGCATACTAGTACCAATAGAATGATCGATCATTCTAATAGAAGAAATACGGTAGCAAATCTGGTAAACCCTTTCTAGTGCATAAAAGTCTGAGAGGAAACAAAAAACCAAAAATGAAATTTCAGATGAAGAATGCAGTTTCTTTAAATTGGAAGGGTGGTTTATAAAAACCTAACAAACCTACTACAAATTTTGCAACGTCAAAAAGATTGAACTATTTCATTCTAAATTACATTTAAAGCAAATACGGTATTTTAAATACCCCACGTTCTATTTCACAAAATATTCAAGCGGTTAATTGACTTTCCAAATTTTTTTTAATGAGACGATACGATAACTACGGTAATTTCAAGCCGCGCGCGGGATGTTGCGTTGTCGGGGGTGGGACAAATGCGACCTTTTTTTGCGCACCTGGACATTTGCGCACCTTTTTTTTCGCAGGAAAAGGCCTTAGGAAAGGCTGTAGAGCTTCAAAAATGCTCTCGTGTAAAGGAATCGTATGCGTAGATTCCGAATTTCGACAAATCAGACCTCGCTGACAGGTCAAATTTGGACTAAAAGTCAAAAACTGCGGAAAAGCGTTAAGTTGGGTAAAAAAGGTAGCATTTGTCCCACTCCCGTTAGTCGTCTTTGTGGATAGTTTTTGGCATCATTTTTTTATCTCTTCGAGCAGTTCTCTTTTATCTCTTTCAATTTTAAGGTTTTGAAGCTTTTAAGGTTATATCTATCAAATCTTTTTAATTTAGGCATCAACTCAACAACGGATGTTGCAGCATCAAGTCGGTTTTAAAGTTTAAATTTTAGGTTTTTTATAAACAGCGATTTTTGCGTAGTTTTAAAAAGTTTTTCTGCGAAATCAACTACGTTGAATTCATTTAGAACAAGTTTAAACCATTCTGAATAGATTTGCTGCCAGTTTAAGACGGATTTTCGAGCTGAGAAGAGAATCCTTTTTCACTAGGTTCAAAAGGTGCTGGGGTGAATTAAGAGCCTCTACAGTCTCAGTAACTGCATGGAAATGCTAGAACATAGTTATTAAAGCTTAACTAGATGCCAAATCAAGAATCTACGTCATAAAAACCCTATGAGCAAAAATTAGTGAGCTCTGATTCAATCGAGACGTATGTGCACTGGCCCCCTTAACTACTACAGCCCGTCTTTTATAATGCTCTGACCGATAAAACACAGCTTTTATTTTTGTTTTAGCAGCACGAGAAGCTTTGACTGAGGAAGAAATTGTGGAATTGGCTCAATTTGCCTATGATACGGCCAGCAAACGGGTAATTTCATAAATTTTTGTTTCCCACTCAACTTGGTCCCACCACGATTTTCCTTTCTGTGAAGGCAGAAAATCGTGCAGGGGAACAAAAACCAATCGTCAGTGGTGGTTTTCGCCCTTCCCCCAGCACCAGCTATAACCAAAAAATGTTATTGAGTTATGTGCATCGTATTTTGCTTGCCCCTTTTACTGTTTAGTTTCTCAAACAGCGTATTTCTTTTTTTTTAAGGCTAGGGGGCTAAACAGCATAATTATCGTTTGTTTTTCAGGCAATAACCGACATGGCAAGTGTTGACGTGAATACGGGGATTACTTCCCACAAAACGGCCACCATCAGGAATTACAACACTCAACCCAGACTTGGTAAGGTTTTTAAGAGCTTAATAGGCGTCTTTTGCCATTCATGCTTTTGATCAATAAGCAAGCTGTAAGAGTTTAATCGACAAAAAGCGAAGGTTTCCGTTGGCTAAAAAGTGAAAATCTTTGACTTTATTTTTGTTTTAGTGTACAAAACGGTGGTTGGTGTAAACGGGCCTCTCGTCATTTTAAACGATGTGAAGTTCCCTCAATTCAACGAAATCGTCAACATCACTCTTCCCGATGGAAGCAAACGATCCGGACAAGTCCTTGAGATTACACGAAACAAGGCTGTCGTACAGGTAAAATTTTGGGTGCTACTACACTTAGCGGAGAGGGGCAAGTGTACAAACACCCCCCCCCAAGCACAAAATTTTAAATTGAAATTGATTAAAATTTGGCTAAGATCATTTAAGAATGTTTGTGTAGTTTGTTTGAATAATTATGCTCTTTTGTTTAGGTGTTCGAGGGAACCTCGGGAATTGACGCAAAGAACACGATCTGCGAGTTCACTGGTGATATTTTGAGAACCCCTGTCTCGGAGGACATGTTGGGTCGAATCTTCAACGGATCCGGAAAACCCATCGATAAGGTAAGGGTTTCATTTGTAGACAAACGTGCAAGATTTTGAATCAATTGGATGGATGGAGTTGAAGTCTTCAATTTGCACTAACTATTTCTCTTTAGGGACCACCAGTGACGGCTGAGGATTTCTTGGATATCAACGGGCAGCCGATCAATCCATGGTCTCGAATCTATCCTGAGGAGATGATCCAAACAGGAATTTCGGCTATCGATGTGATGAACTCAATTGCCAGAGGACAAAAGATTCCAATCTTCTCAGCTGCCGGTCTTCCACACAACGAAATTGCGGCCCAAATTGTGCGACAAGGAGGTATGATTTATTGATATCTTTATTATATAATGATATTGATACAGATGGAAAATCGTTTGCATAAAATTTAAAGCTTAGGGCTTACAAAAATGGGGCGGTTTAAAACTTTAACACGTCGATCTTAATGATTTAGAAAGCTTAATATACAAACATTAGCAACTTGATTTTACTTGTTAAAGTTGACCAAAACCATGTATTCAGGTCTTGTCAAGCTGCCGGCTTCTGAACGAAAACATGGAACCGGAGAGGATTCAAACTTCGCTATTGTCTTCGCCGCTATGGGGGTTAACATGGAAACCGCTCGTTTCTTCAAACAGGACTTCGAAGAGAACGGTAGAATTTTAAAATTACCGAAATGTTATATTTAAAACCCATAAACATCTTCTACTGTAAATAAAATTCAATAATGCTCTTTTGCTTTCAGGTTCCATGGAGAATGTGTGCCTGTTCTTGAATCTTGCCAACGATCCGACTGTCGAAAGAATCATCACTCCTCGCATTGCTTTGACTGCTGCTGAGTTCTTCGCTTATCAATGTGAAAAGCATGTGTTGGTCGTGTTGACTGACATGTCCTCGTATGCCGAAGCTCTTCGTGAGGTAACTTTTGTGTTAAATTTTGGAGAATGTTGTTTCTATCTGTTATATTGATAGCTTCCAGTGTTAATTTATAAGTTTAGGTATCAGCTGCTCGTGAAGAAGTACCCGGTCGTCGTGGTTTCCCCGGATACATGTACACTGATTTGGCGACAATCTACGAGAGAGCCGGTCGTGTCGAGGGACGAGATGGATCAATTACTCAAATCCCCATTTTGACTATGCCTAACGATGGTTTGTTTAATATCCGATTTGTTGTATCACCGTGGCCTTTTAGACATCACTCACCCGATCCCCGATTTGACTGGATACATCACGGAGGGTCAAATCTACGTTGATCGTCAACTTCACAACAGACAAGTAAATTTATTTTGATTGTATAACTCGTTATGCATATAAATACCTGGTAAAATAATCAATAAAAATAACAAAAATTTTTTTAGATCTACCCTCCAATCAACGTGCTCCCATCTCTGTCACGTCTCATGAAATCGGCTATTGGAGAGGGAATGACTCGTGCGGTAAATACTTTTGTTTTATTTCCTTATGATTTTAGCTCTTCTAAGCGCACTTTTATTTAGTATTCATTTTAGGATCACTCTGATGTCTCAAATCAATTGTACGCCTGCTACGCCATCGGAAAGGACGTGCAAGCCATGAAGGCCGTCGTCGGAGAGGAAGCTCTTTCATCTGACGATCTTCTCTATCTTGAGTTCCTCACCAAGTTCGAAAAGAACTTCATCTCACAAGGTAATTATTGGTGTAGTGGTTTTATCATAAACTAGTTTGTAAGTAGAGAAAAGCGGAACTGATTAAACGTCCTTTTGGCTGATTAAAGTTAAGTTTCATTTAATCACAATTTTATCGATTCAGGGAACTACGAGAACCGAACGGTATTCGATTCATTGGATATTGGATGGCAATTGTTGAGAATCTTCCCACGTGAAATGTTGAAGCGTATCCCCGAATCTACCTTGTGAGTTGCTTGTGCCTATTATCTTTTATAAATTTGGTGGATACTGTGTGTTCTTAGCTAATGTGTCTTTCTTTTGGTACCTGTTACCTAATAAACTTTTCCAGGGACAAATTCTACCCACGTGGTGGAGCTGGCGGTGGTGGAGACAAGGCCTAAAAAGGAATCCATCAATCAATCAAATCCAATCGAGTGATGTCATGGTCTGTTCCTTGTCTTTTTCTTTTCCCCTCTAATATTTTAGTCATAGTTTTGTGATTTTATCAAATTCTTGCCACTATATTTCCAACTGGCCGCAAGTATTTTTGCGTGTTTTGCAAGAAAATTGTCACTTCTATCAAATCTATAAAATTAGTTTGTGACTCGTTACAAGATGTGATATTATAAGTGAAAAATCCCCTAAAACATTCCTTTTATTAAATTTTATTTGTTCAAATTTTCTTTTTCGAACGTCGCTTTTGAATTCTTTTAAAATACTCTCCGTTCTAGGAAATCTGAGTATCTTTTTGTATTCTGATAGTTTCTCGTAGTTTTATTATGTACTTTAGTAAATTTTACAAATAGTTCCAAAACACAATATATTTATGTAAAGCTGCAATGCAAAGTATAATATCTTATGAAAAATGGCGGAACAGTCAATCTCATAAATTAAATATTTTCTCTTCAAACCCAAAAAGTGTCGAGGCACTAATATACAAAGAAAGACCGGTATCAATGGCATATAATGAATCGGGTAATGAAACACAAGAGATTAAAAATAAGTGCAACAAAAGGAACTGTAAAGTGAACAGTTGTAAATATGACGCAAAGGAAAGCAAATCATTCATAAAAAGGCCGATTTTCTTACTTTTTTGAAAATCGACTAATGCACTTTTAAAGAATGCTTATTATTTGAATAGATATATTAATCGAATCTGATTGATCACAATATCATAAATATTCTTTCGATTGTTTATCCATTATGTGAATGGGGTATCCCCAATGCTTGTCGAATTCTTGTCAAACAAACTTTTGCTCCATCACGACATTCAGGCGACATTAAAGTAAAATTGAGAAAACCATGTGGAACATGAGGAAGAAGATCCAATGAGGCCACCTAAAATTACAAAATCTTACTGAATTGGGCTAGGTTACTTTGTTTTTTGTTCTATTCTACGAACCTTTCCTCCGGCATCTTTCAATTTTCTCGCAAATGCAATCGTATCATCAAGTAATGGATCCAAATGACAGCTAAATGTCAATATGTTTTGCTGTCCATTGTTTTTGTCTCTATAAATTTTCGAAAAAATAAAACAAACCCAATTAAATGCATTGGTGGGAGTTCACGTATTAAATGATCATCTGCATACATTGGAGAGATTAATGGATCACGTGGGACAGCTGATCGATTCAACAATTCGAGTAGATGTGATCGATTCTCCGTTTCCTCTTTTTCCTATACATTTCTTTTTCCTTTTCAATTCATTTCCCTTTTCCCAACCTGTGCCAATTCTTGACTGCCCGTTGTTCTTTCCAATTTTTTCTGTGGTCGATCAAACCATTCACTCAAATTGTCAAGTGCATGACCGGCAGCCAAACTTGCTGTATCGGCCAATGTTTGAGAAAGAGAACGCTTGTGACACTGAAATTTCAATTGTTTTTTTTGCCGGTTTTTCTGAATTCATCTGAATTCCTTGTCTAATTTCACTCACCAATGGCGGATTCCTGTATGATCCAAGACTGTTATTGCTCAATGATGCCGATAGAGTTGTCTTTGTTGGTTTCTCAATTGGAACAGAAGAAAGAGTATGAGATGAAGTTGACGATGCAATTGTTGTGAGATCATCTGAAGTAAATTCTTTGAAATCTTTAGCCATATAAGTTAAAATTCCATTTCTTACCTGTTTCATTCATTATTTCTGCTTTCACTTCTTGTGCAACTTCATCAATATCATCGGGACTTGGGATTGTCACTCCTTTCTCATCACACCACAATACTTGACTAAAACTGCTTTTGAAAAGTATTTTAGTAAGAAACGAACTCTTTTGTAATTGGATGCGTTTGGAGGAAATTGACAAAATTGTTGTCAAAAACTGATGGAGAAATGTGAATGTGGAGTGGGTCGGAGTCGATCTGGAAATAGAGGTTTTTTTGGAAAATAAAAGAAAAATTAGCTCTAAATAAAGCACTTACCCTTACACTACTCATAGATTGATTATCATCATCTTCTTCACTTTCCATTTCTTCATCTTCACGTTGAGGACAACTCACTGAAGGTATTGTCTAAAAAGTAACTTTATCAAATCGCATGTAGTCCCAAGCATGAAAATACCTACTTGCCAACTTACAGTATGAAAAAACAAAAAGTGTTGAAACAATAAGCTTGCGATTAGCTTTCTTTATATTCACTTACTCCATTTATTTTGAAGAAAGAAGTTGATTCCGTTGGAGTTGTCCCATTGGGAGAATTGTTCTGACTCAAATTCACCAATGAAACGATCGATTGAGAACCACTCTGAAATTGAGATTTAATAATATCAAAACTGTAAATAGTTTCTTTGTGTACCGTAAAATCGATCCTTTGTGTTTTTTGAACTTGTTCAACATATTCTTGCAATGATTTATGCCCATTTTCTTCTCTTGGCACTGTCGATCCACCATTATCTTCATCACTTTTGAAAGTATAAGCTCCAGTGTAGGCTGAATATTATCGAATAAAGAAATAGAATGCGATTAATAACCTGCAACACATCTCAAAACGACACCCATATGAAGGAGTGGATCCATGACACTCAAAAGACGAGATGGACTTGGAAGGTACTGAAGATGAAGAAATAAATGAATGTTAATCTAATGGTACCTGGAAGAGAAACGGTGTATAACATGGGACAAGTCCATCTGGTTTTCTTTTGACATTCAATTGAATGAGGCGAAGATTGAGAGAAACGATGAGATTTCCCCCAGCACTGTCCCCAACCATACACACACGTTCACCCGTCCAACCTAGAGATATTTTAGTTGTGATTATTTTGAAGTAAGTCTAGATGGACATAGTCTCACTATAGTACTACTACAGTACTTTTTTTCTACTCACCAAATAGCTGAGGATTATTGACAATCCATGCATAAGCAAAGAGAACTTCTTCTGTTGGACGAGGGAATGGATTCTCGGGAGCAAGGGAATATTCAACAGAAACAATCGTACAATTCAACAATTTGGCCCACACTCGCAGGTATGTCTGAAATGATTTGATAATTAGATATCGTAAAGATTGTAGACACTGAATCAATAAGATTTTTATTTACCTCATGACTTTTACTGCTTGTTGCCACATATCCTCCACCATGACAATGGAATAAAAGATAAGGAGATGCGGGTTGTTGATTCGAGATATTTGAAGGACTCTGTAAGTGAAAAATATTGTCAAGCCATTCTGTTTTTGTTTACTCACCAATCCTTGTCGATGCAAATGGGACATCACTCGGATTTTCACCGGTCGATAACCTGTATGAGCTGAAGGTTCAGGGATTGGGACTCGATCTGAAATGGAAGAGTCATTTTTGAAGCAGATTTGTAGGCTATTTGGTAAAGATTCTAGTAAATATATCTAAGATTTGAAATAGAACGTACCTCCATCATTCGTTTCCATACTCAATGGCCCATTCGTCACAATTTCTCTCAAATCATTCACCGCCATATTCGGAAGAAATAATTTCGGTACATTCTAAAATTTCCATAATTTCCATAATTTTCTTGTAAATCTTTACATTTCCCAGTTCGGAGAGATTCCAGAAACCCTTGCAAAAGCCGATATCCGCTTCTTTTGTCACCTAAAATCGTTTTGCTCATGTCGAATTTCTTTGCTTACCTTAATAATTCTTGCAGCTCTTTGTTCAGGTGACAAAAAGAATCTCCCCGAATTAATCAATGATCCAATTGGTCCATGTCCCTTTTCCCAAGATAAAGAATATGTTGCAAGGATGATTCCAATGAAACGAAAGATTCGACTGCATGTGGGGGAGAACTGAAATGAAAGAATTCATTGCTATATTCATTCTCATTTCTTACTTGAAATCCCAGCGGTCTTCCATAGAAACAACTACTGTCCAATTTCTCAACTCCTCTCAATAATTCATGCCATTTTCCATAATCTCCCTTCAAATTTGGGAATAAAAATCCATCGGGCATCGCTTCTTGAGTGCTGAGTGTCTAAAAAGGATAACTATAGTAAAAAAAGTTCTCTGCTTAACGGATTAGACTAAAATTTGCAATAGTTAGATAAAGATTCTCAAAATCTCACCTGTGGCAATGCCTCGAGAAGAAAGTAAACAACAGTATTGTATGCCTCGATTTCTTTTGTATAATGGCTGAGTCGAAACATGAGTGATCCTCTCATTTCAGAACAAACTCTCAATAAGGAAATGAGATGAAGGACAACTGTATCACAGATACAAACAAGAGAACTGCAAATATTACACTTAAATTAGCCTCAATATTACTCTCACCGAAATCCATTTCCCGGAACTTTTTCATCATAATCGAAACGGGGAGCGATTTCTTGGAGTTTCATTACCAATTCTGAATTTTTTTTTTCTAATTTTCGTCAATTTCCATCTCTACCTTTCAATTTCGGTGTTGTTTGTTGTACATCAATACAAGCCTCAACAATCCTTTGCCCATATTTGGCGGTGGTCGGGAATTTCGTGAAATATTCCTCATTGTCGTTGGCTAACTGAAACAAAGATTGGAGACGGCTAAAAAATAAATTCTTTGAACTAATCAAAGAAAATTGTCGACTATTTACCTTGTACAAGAGATTATAAATAGCTGATCGATCAATGGACAATCTCGGCGATAACTTGTGTTGTTTTTGCCTTTCCCCTCCCATTCCAACGTTATTTCTTCTTGTCGATGAATTGAATGATTCTTTTGTGTCAAATACACCACATCCTGGAATCTTTAGTTTTAATATTAGGTATATTTCGGATTTTTTCAAATTCGAGACCTAAAGTCGTAGGTGAAACGATAGATGAATGCAATGGATGGAATGGACATTGGATGAATCTTTATTTTCAAAATTACGAAGATCCTCAATAAATCTTTCTAAGACTGGAAAAGATTTGCATAAAATTATCCCAAAATTGGAAAGAAAATGAAAATATCGGTGAAATTTTCTCACAATTTGGACAAAAGATGAGAGAAAGTACTTGAGAATTCATGGATTTCAAAGAAATTTTGGAATTTGCCCTCTGAAAGAGAAAAAAGCCGAAAAATTCGATGATGAAAGAATATTGGATTGAAATGGAAAAAGGAGTGTAATGTAGTGCAGAAGAAATGAGAAATGATGGGAGAAGAAGACAAAAACGTGGAGATGCGATGGGAATTGGGGTAATTTGAGGTGAATTTGAAGGGAAACTCGGAGAAAAGGGGAAATGACGAGGATTTACAAGAAAACAACAGAGAGCACGTCATCCCTGGGTCAGGTCATCAAATATGCAGATTGCCTAGAATATCGCCAAGGTTCTAAAGTAGAACACTTTTATTATCGTTATAATGGATATTAAAGATTTCATAAAATTTCCTCCTTAAAATTCCCCCTTTCCCCCGATAAATTTAACAGTTTTGCATGGAGATTTCTATGAGCAATTCATAAAAAAACAGACAAAATTTGTGTGTCTTGATTGACAAATTTCAAAAAATCGGTAAGTTCTGGGTGCATAGAAAGAGCGAAAATCAATTTTGGAAGGAAAAAATGAGGGAAAGAAAAGAAGAAAAAAGGAAAGGTCAAATGATGTTTCGAAGAAAGTCTATCGATCAAAGTTCACAAATTACCTGGAAATAATCTGCAAAATGGGAAAATTTGCGATTTAAAACATAGGTGGGCGGAGAGATATTTTTTCGGACACTCAAAAATGTAAACGGACTCTTTCTGGCGCAATCAATTATTTATTTTTTGCTGCAACACGGCAAATTGTTGCTACGAGAAGATGACGAATTGAGTGCGCCAGAAAGGGTGTGTTTAAAGAACTAGTTTAGAGATTTTTCCAATAAGAAGAGCGTTATCTTTGAAAAATTGTTTTCATGATTCCCATGCTTTCAAATAAAAAAAATGGAAAATTGAGTGCCCGATGTTGATCTAAAAAAGAAAAAAAAGAGGGCTTGTGCTCTTTGTGCACATTTGAGAGAAGAAATTTTGGTGAGGGTAAAGCTGAGAAAAAAAGAGAGATAAGTAGTTAAAAAGATGAAAAAAATGAATGGGAAAGGAATAAAATGAGAGAAATGAAAAGGGAAAAGAGATCAATTTACAACAAATTGCATTCAAATGAGAATGGAAAGGGAAAAATGAATGAACAGGAAAAGAAATAGAATAAAATAGACGAATTAATTAGAGGAATTTCGGCAAATAGGCAATATTATCCAAACGAATGCTTTTGGGACTTAAAAAGCCACCAATAAGCAAAAACTGTGCACCTCTTGAAGAAATTGTTTAAACTAACAATAAGACTTAATTTAGCTGTTAAAGACAAAGGGGTTACGGCAGCTTTTTTAAAGCGCATCTTTTAGAAAATGACCCAAATAAAGCAAGTCAAATAAACAAATCACCGACCTTGTAACCCTCCAGTACTTGCAGTCTCGAATCCATACGCTTCTCTCATTTTTAAAATCTCGACATCGGTTGATCGTTGTAATAACCGCATAGCTAAAAAATATCGATAAGCTTTCGAAACTTGAAACAAGAACGGAAAACAAATGGGTATACAATTGATACAACAAATTTCAAATATAGTTAGACATAAGATAGATAGTCAAAGATAGCAAGATCGAAAAAAGGTCATTTAGTTCCAAAAGATTCTCCGTTTTTGACGTAAAGATACCGGAATTGATGGTCAAATTTTTGGCAAATCTCTTTTGGAAATGGGAAAAAGAAAAGCGCAAAAAGAGACAGATTTAGAAATGACCGAAAAATCGAGTTTCTTTTGGTTAAACGGGAAGTGGGGAAAGATTGAAGAGAATTGAAGAGAAAAGAAAAGAAAGGAAAGAGAATGAAATGACGTCATGAAATGAAGAAGAAAATGAAGGAAAGATTTTGATTGATGAGAAGATAGAAAGGAAATGGGAGGAAAATGAAGGGAGGAAGATGAGGTAATTGAGAAGAATGAAGACATCATCTGATGGAAGAGGAGAACGAGTGAAACAAAGTTTATGTACCAAAAAGTTCTCGTTCTAACAAGAGTTTATATGTATTTAGATTAAGACTCTCCGTCTTTTGCACGTTATTGTACAAACTTCGTTTAACCAATCACAACTTATTTGTTATCTGTATTTGACTTTAACGGGCTACTTGCACGAATTCAAATCAAAAGCGCGAAATGTGGAAGGATTCAGATTGAACGAGGGTTCATTCAAAAACAAAATCGAGAAGCAACAAACTTCAAAACTGACTAGAAAAAGATCCGGAATAAACCCCTTTTAGCAATATATAGCCATATTCGGAGAAGAAAAGATATTCAGGCAAGACGAGAATCGAGTGGAATTTGTACTTTTCCGTAGTCGTTTCACGTTTTCTTACTTTGGAACTACGTCTGGATATAAATTAATAATTTGAATGTAAATCGCAGCGGTGGTGCTAAAAATTTAGCACAGTGTACTTGATGAGTCATTGCAAAGGAAGGCAAGAAATCGATTTCGATCTATACTTTGGAGCAAGCATCGTTCGAGCTATGCTTGCAAATTAGATGTTTTTAATGAAACAACTTCTTCTAAACACAATTCTAACAATGAAGTGACGCTGCTGGAAGTTCTTAAATAAGCAAAAAAAAGTAAACCAAGTTCAGTCAAGTGGAAATTCAACTCAAGTTCCGCTAAGAAGCTCAAAAACAAAAAAAATGAAGTACTACTATACATATCCAAACAAGAAAGAATACATATTGTATAGTCGTGTATTTCCCCTTCTATAAAAGTGATCTCATATAAAAGTTTAGTTAGTTAATGGTCAGAAACCTATGTACTTAGCAAGTTCAAGTTTTGATTTGCTATACATAGCGGGTAAATTGCAGTGAGGTTTGACCAAGGCGTTAGATGACCGTTTAGTATTTTAGAGGTTCATTAAGTACAAATAAATCAAAGAAAAAAATGGTGAGGACAAGAAAGATCGAAATCGAGACAAAAAGAAGAAGAAGGGAAGACGAACTTGCTCTGTCAATCAAAAAAGAGTACATCACAAAGACAAAGACCCAAAAGGAGTGAGAGAAGGGGGATGGGAGGGAACAAGAGAGGAGGGTGGGTAGAGGCTAAGGGTTGATGTTCGATGTCCGCATTCTCTTTACTCATTCTTTCCCCCATTTTTCATCCCCAATTTGTCCCTATTTTCAGAGTGACCCCTCCCGTTTGTCGTGTGACGTAAATGGCGAGTGTTTTTTCGGACATTTTTTAGACTTCCGAGCGAACCTCGTGTTCTATGCGACTCTCGGGAATCTCGTTTTTAATCTCTAATGATTGAATGACTTTCTGAGATTAGGGCTCAAAAACCAGTGCTAATTGTTGGTTAGCGGGAGATGCGCGAAAAGATTTGTATGTTGAGAAGTGAGACTAGAGTTTGGTGAAACCTATAATAAGAACAATGATGGAAAGTGAATGGTTGAGATGAATGAAATGTGAATGGAAGAGGCAGCAAACAACATTGAATAAGCAACTGATATAAGCAAAAGAGACACAAATACAAAAATTGATTGTAGATAAAATTTGTGTAGTCAAAATGATTGATTGAAAGAAGATCTTTTAGAATGAAACAAAGTCTAAAAGGACTTCCATCAATGGTATAAGAGAAATGTTGTGTGTGCTTGAAGAGTTGATGGTTGAAGAGGAAGAGAATGGCGAGGGAAGCCGTCCCCCCAACCACTACCGTGACGTAGTCTCTCGGTCTTTTTCTCTCTTCTCTTTTTTTTGTTTAGCTTTGAGCCTGTTCTTGCTAGTTTTAGCGTGTGAAAAGAAGAGAAACACACAAAACAAATGAACGAATTGCGGTTGGGGTAGTTTGAAACATTTGAAACAATTCTATACAAAGACCTAACGATAACGAATCTATTTTCTAGTTGAATTAAATATAAAATAACTCTTGTTAGATAAAACGACAAAAATAGAACTTTTTGGTCACATTGATTTCAGAATGAAAGCATAAAATCTGTTGTCGTCGTCGACTCAAAATCGGTAAACATTGAATTCTCGATGTAAAGGATTAAAAGGGAAAAGGAGGAAAAGGGAAGGGACAAAATAAGACCATTTTGAGATCATTTGGAGACCTGAAATAAAATGGAGGGAAATGGTTGGACGATCAAGCTGCAATTTGGAGAGGAAATGGGGAAAGGGAAAAGAGGAGAGCATTTGGGGATCATTTCTGAGTGATTGAGTTGAGGTGAGCTGCTGAGTTTTTTGCGCAAATAAAATGTTTTATTGGTGTGTAACACTTGTATTGAAACTAAAAAACAATCAATCAAATAAGACTTTAATCGAACTATTTTACAACAATTTCAACAGGTATCTTTGTACAAGATATGACGATCAGCTGTGAATTTGAGCTAAATCTTAAACTGTCTAATCAAAAGATTTGTATGATGAATAGTTTGGGTACAAAGTGGTCTGAAAAAAAGCTGAATGACGTCTAGAGATCAAGAAAAATCAAAGGAACACGCTCAGGCCTGTTTTTGTGAACAAGTAAAGGGACTAAACGACTATGAAAGATTGAAATCTTTCAAGAAAAATGAGAAAAGGGTTACAGTATTTTAGATAAGTAAAGTGAAAGAAAGAGAAGACTCTAGTTGAAAAAAGAAAAAGAATTAGATAATGTTTGGTCTGTGAATGAAGGTAAAGTAATAAAGTTCAAGAAATACGCATGGTTTTATTTTTTATAAGCGCAAATGAATGATTTTATGATCTCTTCTCTTAAAATCATTGAGCACGGAAAGTTCTCATGAAAAGAATCCTAACCTTTGATGATAGATTTGAGATTTCAAATATTTCGAGCAGTTTGGGGTACTATTATGACGATTTCTAGAGGCTCAGGATAATATTTTATGGAAAATGGAAATAGCAAGTAAAATAAGCAAGCGAGTATGGAAATAGCAAGAACGTAACCTTGAATTCTGGAAAATACGGTACCTCGTCACTCATTTACTATTCTCTATTCCTGTGTTGAATCTACAGTCAACACCTATTTACGAGTCAATGTTTCTAGAGTATTTCCTTTTCTGTCTTATCCTACTGTAGTCGCAGTGACATTTCGGCTGTATAAGGCGGTCTTTTTCTTCATTTGGTGGTCCTTTTTATTCATTTTCCACTAAAGTGAATTATTGTTTGTATTGATAAAATTTCGTTCTTTTGATCACATTCAAGATATACAAGTTATCAACCACACGCAAGTTTAAATACAAATACAAATCGCCAGGAAACCCCTTAAAAACCCCCTAAAATTGCTCTATTCACTCATTTCAATGCATGTACCATGTGCTCCTATAGTCTAGTTTCCAATGAACCGCTCTACTTTTGAAAACTCGAAACTTTGTCTTTTTAGATTCTCAAATCTGATAATCGATTCTCAGTTTCCCTCAAAAACCTCTGAAATTCCTGAGAACTTATTGTGGACTATTAGAGTAAATTGACACAAAAAGAACGGCCTTCAAGTGAAGATCTTGAAAAAAAGACAAAAAAATATTTGTGTAAAAAATAAATAAGAACTGTTAGTATTACAAAAAATGGTGTTTGATAGATGGGAAAAGATTTTAAAAGAAAAGAACAGTTTTGGGATCATTTCAAGAGAAATCCCGTCAAAAGATATGAGAAAAGAGGTGGAAAAGGACTGTATGAGATGGGAATTCTTTGAAAAAGGGAGAAGGTTCGAGAACAGAACTTAAGAAGTGCCTGCTTTTACAAAAATTTACCCTTTTACATAAGTGTAACATTTATTCTCAAATCTCATTCCTTCTTATCGTTGTTCTTGTTGATGCAATTTGTAGAAACGATCTTTTCCGTCTGAGTATTTCTTCCTTGTAAACTTTGAAAAAGAGATATTCCAGCAGAAAAATATTCACGATAAGATAAATGGAAAGGAAAATGCCGAAAATTGAACCGAAGAGAAGGCCATCGGAAAAATCATTGAAATAGACACGGAGATCGACTCCCTGGAATTTAATTGCTTATATAGCCCTATTCCATTTAACGCCCTATGCCTTGAATAGTCATTCAACAACTCACAATAAATACTGGATATGCGTGAGTCATAAATCGATCATTTCTTTTCAATCCGATCATCGTGAGAATAAAAGTGATCAATGTCATACACAACCAGACACAATTCATAAAGAGAACTGCAAGAAATGTGATGAGTGTGAAATGATATCCATCTTGGGTGGGTAAATTGCTGACAATGAGTGATTAGATTGGGTATTGTACCGGAAACAAACTCTTTATATGAAGTATAATAAGCTTTATTCATAAAAAACACTCCGAGGGTTACGGCGGCAAAATGAGAAAAGAAAATAAGGATGAAACAAATCTGAAAATCGATTTCAGCATTGTCTTTTAAGCCAAAAATACCTTTGTTTTTGTTAAATGGAGTCCTGTAATCACTGATTTCAATCGATCCAACATCTAAAAGTTTATTGGAAACTTATCATAACCAATTCAAAACATTTGCTTTCACAGC